AATATATTATTATAATATTACGATTATAACAAGTGTACGAATGATAATTTAACTATTTAAGTTTAAAATAAATGATTATTTTCAAGATAAGACCATGACACTGTCTATTTATGATTGAGTATTTAAGAAGTGATGAAAGCACGTGTAGGTACATCTATACAACAAGCAACAAGCTAAAAATAAATTATAATTTCTGGACATTTATTTTTATCGTGTATATTATAATATCAAAACTAATTTTAATCTCCGTGATATACATTATAATGAATTATGAATTATTTTTAAAATATTAAAATAGCAAAATAATTTTTAAAATGTAAGCATTTTTGTGTGAGACGGTTACTTATACTAAACATTTTTAAAACTAATTATTTATTTATTAAAAAAAAAAAAAACACACACAAAGTATTGGTCGAAGTATTGGTAGATGATATTCTTGAAATTTGGTGATTTTGCCACGAGACTGCACCTTCTTGAATAAAAAATTGTTTAAATTTTTCTCTAACATCAAAACCATCTGCACTCGCAAAGCCACCTCTACTACATAAAGTGCCCATCTCAATACTTTGACCTTCGTCATATTCATAGTAAATTTTATTACCTTTTTCTAAAAACGCATCTCTCAGCATATTGTGCAAACAACATGCGACAATAACTAAATCGTCGCATACTTCTACATCAATTGCTATTGCAGTATGAAATACTCTGAAAACTTGTGCTAATAAGCCAAATGCATTTTCCGTCACCCTACGACAACGACTCAACCTGTAATTAAAAATAGTTTTTGCTCTATCTTGTTTAGCCGTAGATCTAGAGTACGGTTTCATTATATGTCTGTGAAGTCTGAATGCTTCATCGCCAACAATAACAAATGGTGTAGAATTATCAGAGCCTGGTAGTTTTTCGTCACTTGGGAAATTAAAATTGAAAGAATAAATTTGTTATCCCATTTTTGATTTTCCAAATATGCCACTGTCTCCTTCTTTACCATAGGACCCAACATCGATGACTAAAAATTTACAATTCGCATCTACCAATGCTAATAAGACGAGTGAAAAATATTCTTTATAGTTAAAATATAAAGAACCGGTATTTTTTGGGCACTTCATTCGAATATGTTTACCATCGATTGCGCCAATACAATTTGGAAAATTCCATCTTGTCCAAAACTCTTGAGCTTTTTCTTTCATATTTAATTTACTCGGATTAGGTATAAAATGTGTTAACAGATGCTTTTTCATAGATTTTAAGGTATTTTGTATTATAATACTAATATAGCTGTGTGATATCCGGAAAGCAAAAGATAAAGAACGGTACGTATCTCCAGAAGCTAAAAATCTGAAAAAAAAATAATATATATTATATGCATGTCATTATTTATTTATTTATTTGAATCAAAATACACTAATAATACAATAGGTACTAATAACTAAATAACCGACACCAATTTATGTTATAAATATTTTATTTGTTAAAGTTAACGAAATATAATTTTTTAATCTGCAGCTTATTAATAGCTAATTAATATACTGCAGTATACAGATGCGTTTTATGATTATATTTGCAATTTCAATACACAATAAGATTTTCAAAATATTTTAACTTTTGTTGAGCTATTTATAAGCATAATACATTTTCTGGTTTTTTTCATTTTTTTTTTATAAGCATTTAAACTTCGAATTTTGACCGAAATTCATCATTGAAGTATTGCAAATAGTTTTGTAGTTAAAAATTCATAAAATGTTCAGTTTTTATATTTAAGGATTGAAAATTTAATGCAAGGTTTTGTGTAATTAGTTTATAATTTAACCCAAAAGTCAGAAAAATATATTAAAATTATAACAGCAGATTTTTATATAAATTTTATATAATTTTTTTTTTTATTAATTATTTTTATTAATTTATTAATTATTAATCAGTATTTTAATAACTCTTGTTCGAAATCGATTACGAATATTTATTTGTACTAGATGAAGACTGCAAGAGAAGGTACAAGAACATTAAAGATGCCTATTTAAAAAATAAACGGGCAAGAATAATGAATACTGGAGCAAGTGCCTCTTCAAAACCCTCAAAATGGCATTTAGCACCATTTTTAAGTTTTTTGGATACAGTACCACAAGAAAGAAAGTAAGTACCTAATTACATATGATAGAGTGATTGATTTCAAGTGCAACACTAATTATTATTTATTTCCCAAACTATTAACTTTTTTCAAAATTTTTTTTTTTAAATTTTTTTGATACATATTATTTATTAATTGTAGTTAATTTTAATTTGGATATAATAACAAATTATTAATATTTATTATACATTTTAACAGCACAACATCAAATATATATGATACTGATAATAATGAAGATTCTGGCTCAGACGAAGAGGAAATAAATATCACACAAGATGATATTATACTGCAGTCATCACCAGTAACGCAATGTCCTCAATCTCTGTCGACTTCAAAAGCACAAAAATCGACTAATAAAAGAAAAAATTTACATGTCACTGAATTATTAGAAAAAAGATCCGAAGAAAGAACAGAGCTGATGACACAACTGATGACTAAAAAAAATACGGTTGAGTACGATGATGTTGATCATTTTTTCAAAAGTTTAACTTTATCTGTCAAAAAGTTGCCACCACACTTAATTTCACAGGCGAAATTAAAAATGTTGACAATTGTGACTGACTTGGAACTTCAAGCTGCAAATAATCATGCACATAACGTCCACATCATACCTGGCAATCGCAGAGTATCATTACAGTCAAATAATTCTACTAGAAGTTCCCCATATTCTAACAACTTTACTTCATACAGTTATAGTCCACCTTCACTAGATTCACCATTATATTCAAATATTCAACAACAGTTTGGACCAGAAAATCCAACTACATTTACGCCTTTCCAGTCAGTTCAAAATATGAATAATAAATGGAACACCAATTCTCAAGAAATTTAACAATATATTTTAAAATATTATCTTATAAGGTATTTTGATTTTTTTTTATTAATTGTTCATAAGTCAATGAAATATATGAGGTAACTATTAATATAAGGTAACTATTTTTATTTATTTTGATCAATAAAAAATTGATTTATTATTAACTTTGATACAAATTGTATATTAAAATAAAACAACAGTATTCCACAAATAAATTTATAAATCTGAGTTCTTATTTCATTTTACTTTATCTGTACCTAATTGAAAAATTGTACTTACCTCAATGTAACCGCCAATTTTTCTTCTGGTGATATGGGTTTCCTTATAAAAAATGTTGGATTTAATGTTAAATCGTCTCTTATTAGATTCAAAATAAAATCGAATTGATTACGGTTTAATCTAAAAAATTCTCTAAACTTATTTTAATTATTTTTCAGATGGCCGTTGATAAGTATTTCATGATAACCTTCGGTACTCCTCTTTGTAAATAATGGATCATGCGGCTTTCTTTTTTCTTCTGACAAATACCAGTGTAAGATCTCATCATCTTCTTCTTCTTCTAGCAAAAGAATTTTTAAGATTTCTTTATCGACTGTATCCATTATAATAATTTTTAAAAACGAACAGTACTCGTGCACCGTGAACTTAGCACTTCAAAATTTCGAGTTCGACTGACGGACGACTGTTGAAATATAAATTATAAATCTTTGGGTCGCAACGTAGAATCGTCTAGAGCAAACCAACATGACGCGAACGCGATCTTAATTCGTAGTTCGCGTTCGCTGACCGCGTTCGCGATCGCGCAAGGGAAACCGTACCTTTAATAAAGCTATTTTTTTTAATGAATTTTCACGTTTAAATTTTCATTTTTCGTTAATCCGTTGACGAGATATAGCCTCTCAAAGTTGGATGGTTTTGGGTGGTATTTGTGTGTAAATGTGTTTAAATAAATACCAGAAGTAATAAGTACCTGATAATAATATTTATTTTTTATAAAGACCAGAACTCATAAACTCATACGTAATAAATTCGATATCGTTCAACCGGTCGACCCAAAGGTCGATTATTTAATAGTTATTAGTTGATAGCACGGACTTGTAACAATGTAGGTTGTAACCTTTCACAATAACATTTGAGTGAAGTTAATGTATAAAGAAAATCAGATAGTATGTGTGTAACTCAGATATATGTATATTTTTTTTTATTCAATTTACAATTTTGGATATACTATAGCAACATAATTAATTACACTTTAAATAATATTTTTAACAGGTTAATATTAATTGTTATCATTTACAATTTAAAATTGAATATTAGTGTAATATAGGTGTAGCATAGTAAAATGCACTTACAATTTATAATCAAACTTTAGTACAATATAAAAAATCTATCATAAATTGCTTCAATAGTTGTAACATATCTGTTTGCACAATATATTTACGATACTATATAACGAAACATTGGTAATCATCTTTGAAATGCAAGTAATTGGAATAGAAATTAACCATTTGGTAAGCTTCCCTCAAACTATGAACACTCATAGCACTGAACCCTGTTCACGACTAAATCTCTTATATTTTATACGAATATTATGAACCATTAAACAATTTTACTTTATATAAGCCCAGGACTATGAAAAATCAATTTTAAAATTATGATACAGTATAATCAAAATTGTCGTTTTGCAAAATATGAGTTAAGATATAACATGTATTCAAGAAATTAAAATAACTTTTCAATCACCACAGACTTAAAATATAATAAAATTTAAAAATGGTGTTAATAATATTATAACTTGAATTTTGAATACATTATTATTTAACCCTTTCAGGCCCGAATTATTTTAACTGAAGAAAAAAATTTTTTTTCTCATTATGCATGATGATATTCATTCAATAAAGATATTTAGCAAGTTTCAGATGATTCTGACCATCTGGACCGAAAATATTACTATGTACATTATAATGTACATCGGGTATATAATGTAATGACTGTGTGTACATTAGAATGTGCATTGGGCATTCATAGATAAACATATATGTACATCATAATGTACATTGGGATTAATCAAACATTTCCTAAAATTATCACAAAATAATATGGCATGACTTACAGTTTTACCTCACTAAAATAAATAAAATAAGTAAATTAATCAATAAGAATATATGTATAATTTGATAATCATAACAAATAACTATAAAAATTATCATTTTTAAAATAAACATAGGTACTGATACAAAAGAAATAATACATAATAAATTATGGAAGACCACAGAAAGTATCATAAAATATAACACAGGTATAACTTTTACCTAATTAAAATAAATAAAATATGTTATCATAAAAAATAACTATTAAAAAACTTGATAATTAAAATATAAAAATTATTACATTAGACATAACAAATTAGTATCACAAAATAAATGGTATGACTTTTACCTCATAAGAATCAACAAAATATGCAAATTAATTAATACAAATACGTAAACAAGTTATTCATGTGTGAAATTTGAGAAAACAGTTGCTTTATTTCGTGAAACAAAGATGGCATTTACATTTTAAACAATAAACGTGTGTCCTGCCTTTACATCCTTCAACTTTACAACGTACTGCTTCAGTGCGATCATCATATTCTGGGAAATGGCCATAACTATCTTTCTTAACTTCTTCTAATGGTTTTTCATCTACTTTTTTAACTAACTTCTTTCGTGGGTTAATTATCGAGGGGGGAGTTAGAGGGGCGACCTCTTTTTTTACTTGGAGGAGAAAATGGTACACCAACGCTAATTAAGCTCTCTCCTAGGCGCTGTTTGAAATGCAACAAATCCATAACATCTTTTGGTTCAATATTTAATTCAGCTGCGTCTCTTTTATATTCGAGCCAACAGTTGACCACAGCAATATCAAATATGTGAAACATCATCCGTAATGTCCATTTTTTGACTTAATAAAAGTACGATAATAGCTAACTAACTGGTCGTGCTTATCGACACCTCACATATTTTTATTATATAAGCTAATAATTTCAGGACATTCTATAATCACCGAACATTTTTCCTTCCGATCAAATCTTTTTACTTGAATAGGAATTCCTGACGCAATAAAATTGGAACCAATATTGACAGCTTTATTGTCAAACCATTTAACCAACGTAATGTTATGATTTGAAGACACTTCAAAGCTGGTTCCACGACCCATCTTAGCAAGTTCTTTATCTTTCGGAAATGGAGGGTTACAAAATCGATTGCATCGAATTGTGCCAATCGCAAATATTTTATATTTTAAAAGACAGCCAAAAAGATTATATGACGAAAAAAAATTATCAAAAAATAAGTTGTGACTATTAGGTTTCAAGTTTTCTACTAATTTGAGCACAACCGCACCGCCTAGGCCGTAGTTTTTCTGCATAAAATCGTTGATATTAGTATTTGAGCCTTGGTATAATAGTGAATTATAAACAATACCACTTTGTCCACATAGTAAAAAAATTTTTATACCCCACGGAGTAGGTTTTCCTTTTATGTACTGTTTTATGGACAAATTACCTTTAAATGGAATTATTTGTTCATCGATACATAATTTTTTTTCTTTTGGAAGCTCGGAACACCGTTTGATAAACGAATAAAGTGGACGAATTTTTACAAATTTGTCACGGTTATCATTTGAAACAGAATCATTATCAATAACATGGAAACAATTTCGAAGCTGAAAAAAACGATTCCGGGACATATTGTCTGCAATAATGTTTATTCGATATTTGTTTTCCCAATACATACGACTCCGAGGATAGTTCAATTCACCAAATAACATATGTATAGCAATCATTATTTTAATTTCAGCGGAATCAGTTTTGTTGAAATTATTTAAGTTTTTTTGTTCCGAATAAAGATTAGTATATTGGGCCATATTAGCAAAGTCATTTTCACAAAAATATTTAGAAAAATAATCAATGGGATTAGGAATTGTCGTAGGATAAATTGGCTCAGTTATCGGTGTTAAATTAATTACTTGGGGAGAAAACGGTGTTTTTCCCCAAATTATATTTCGTTTTTCTATAGGAATAAATTTATCCCATTTTATTGAATTCTCATCACTATGAGATTCAACGAGAGGTATATTTGTTATGTTACTAACTTTTTTATTATAAGCCGTTAAATTTAAAGGCTGTTCATTTAAAATGTCGTTATTTATGAGTACCTGTTGTTCAATCGGTTCAAATTGTTCGTCTTCTGAAGCAAATTGATTTTCAGTATCTTCTAAATCAAAATCAAAATCATAATCCGAAAAATTATTAGATAAAAGGTATTCAAATTCCTTTTCAGGAAAATTGCCTACTATTTCTTCGTCACTAGATAACGAAGAAAGATCGGAATCTCGACCAAAGTTTAAGAGATCAACTAACTCGTTAGGTCTTAAACCTCTCGTCATGGTAAATATACTTTACTTAACTAGTAACTACTTAAATTTTAAATAATGATTTATAAATTGAAATAATTTCGAATAAAAACGTATAAAACAATACAGATAATAATTATATTCGATAAGCGTAATCATTCCATTACGGCGTATGTGAGCGTTATGCTCCACTCGGTGTGTTTAATCCCAATGTACATTATAATGTGCATTGTTTACCGCGTTTTTCTGAAGAAACAAATAAAGATAAGAAACAACTGATTTATTAGATAAACACGTGGACTTGTAATTGTTAATAACATCATGTACAACTATTTTAGCTCTATCTAGGAACAATCATAGTATTTTCCAAAAAAAAAACGACAAAATAATCAACGACCTCTAGTTTTTTTTAGACTAATTTACAATTCACCGACACGCCCTTTTTGCGTTCAAAAACGTAGATAACTAACTAGATAGTCAATCTCCTCTAACGGACTCTGTAGACCGTCACAACAAAAATGATTACAGTGGTTACTGGTTAATACCTACATTTTATTCGCGCCATAATAGTGACAGCATATTAAATAAGAAATAACCATAAAATTAAACCAAATAGTATTATACTATAATAATATTATTAATTATCGAACAAAGAAAACGTCAAGAAGTGTAAGCACGAGACAAATGACAAGTGCCGATTACTAATTAGTAATTATTATTTGGTGTCTCGTGTATTACGTGTGGTTGGTCCATCATTCATGACAAACAAATCGATTTGTAACAAAAAATTTAAACTACCTACTAATTTCAATAATGTTTCCTCGAGTCATAGTCGTAAGTGTATAAAAAAATATAACTAATTTTAATATACCTAAGCAATAAATGTTGAACTCTAAATTTTGGGTTTGGAGAAAAATAAGTATAATTATAAGTAATAAACTAGTAAGTACTTTTAATTATGTTTTTGTTTCAGAACAAATGTACCATTTGCCAAGATTACATTATTTCAACAAAAATGTCTGAACATATGAAAAGTCACAGGTAAGTTAAAAAGGAAACATACTAAACAATAAATTGTCTTGTAACATGTTAGCACTTAGCAGATATTCAAAACTGGACAGTAACTAGTTAAAAAGTTAAAAGTTACTTTTTAAGATAACTTTTAACTTAGTTAGTAACTATGTTATTTATTTTATATAAATAATTGTAACTTAAAATTAAAGTTATTTACAATTATTTTTGCCTTCTAGTTATTATTCACTTTAATCATATAGGTTATATTCTATATGATGATACTCATTAATTCATATCTGACATATTATACTTTTTTTTCTTTTATAGTCAAGACCATGAACTAGTAATGCCTCAACAGTTAATAAAGAATAAACCATCAACATCATTTGATAATTTATCTACTGAAACAAGGTAAATAACTTCATAGTTGATATTATTATCATGAGCGTGCGCAAAGGGGAGGCAGCTGACTTACCGACTTCTCATACGGTACATAGCCTCCTACCTAACAACAAATGTATTGAACAATAAATATGAAGAACGAATAAAATGGTTCACTTGTTGTGATGGAAAGAATGTTTTTATAAGACATTATTATTATTAAAAAATACTTACTGAAAACTGTTGTGGTATTTGTATGTCAAGTGGGTAAATGGAGTACAGACACCTAAATCTTTTCAGCTACAGTATTGCCTCCCCTGTCAAGAGGATCTGCGCACGCTTATGATTATTATTCAATTTGTAAATATATTGAATACTTTTTTTCTTTATGCAGTCAAGACCACGAACTAGTGCCTCAACAAAAACAGTTTAAAAAGTCCACATTATTCGATAATTTATCTCCTGAATCATGGTAAATAAGTTTATATAGGATATTATTATTCAATTTTTCTAAATATATTGAATACTTTCATATGGTTAAAGCTATAATGAAGAGCAAAGAAACTTGTGAAATTAATTCTATTCACACTACTTTATCATATTTTCTAGTTTTTTGGCTCGTTAATAAATAAATACTTTTTTTTCTTTATGCAGTCAAGACCACGAACTAGTGCCTCAACAAAAACAGTTTAAAAAGTCCACATTATTCGATAATTTATCTCCTGAATCATGGTAAATAAGCTTATATAAGATATTATTATTCAATATACAAACTTATGAATGCTTATTTGATTTTAAGTGTAAATTAATAATTGGTTGTATGTTAGTAACATTGATTACACCTAAGGAAGTTAACAATTTTTTTATTATTTAGTACAAATGAAAAAAGAGTAAAAAGAAGTAAATTTTTCAAATATTTGTTAAACATTTTGTATATATTAATAAAATAAATAATTTTTATATATTTAGAAAGCAAATTGAATATACTGAGGATCAATGCCAAGGCAAATTCAAGTATTTACTATTGTGTTACAAAAAAAAATTAGATAATAGACATGAGACAGGAAGTGCTGTGTATGAATTTGAATTTTTTAATGAACTCGATGAGTTATTTGGTAGAAAACCCAACATAAGACCCAGAGATGTGAGGCTGAAAAGTTTCTGAAATTTTCAAGTGAAACTTTTCATGAAATTTGAAAAGTTTCAAGGCTATTGAAATGAAAAGTATTGAAACTTTTCAATATCAAAAATTTAATTTCATAATTGTACGTATACAGTTACAGTATACACCAATAGATAGGTAATAGAACAATAGTTTTAATATCTATGATTGTAATTGTAGTAGGTATTGTGGTACCACTGGTGTCTGCTGTTAATTGTTATGTGTTATCCTTATCATGATAATTTTCTGCAACTAAATTGTTATTTGGTAGCTTAGCAATTCTACAACTATGATAGTACGATAAATCTATTATCTAGTATTTAGTAATTAATAATAATAAGTTTTTATAGTTTGTTTGCTAACTTGTAATATTTAAATATTTAATTTGTTTTCTATGATTTACTACCTTTGTTATTCATCATGAATACGAGACAAACCGATATTTTTAAATATTTTAATCAAACAAACAGTAAATATCAGTGTAAATTTTGCAATTGGTCTACCTCAAAAAATGCAACAAGAATGTCAGATCACATTATTAAAAAATGTTGGAAGTGTCCAAAAGAAATTCGACAAGTTTATTTTGACACTAAAAACAAACAAAAAAAGTAAGTACTATTTCAATAAAATTGATTTTACTTTAAAGATTTAAGTGTTGTAAAAAACTTGTTAAATACCTACTCAAATAGGTACTTACCTATAATATGGCAACTTATAAATGTAATAAATTAATTTAAATATTAAATTAATGGTACCTACTACCTACATAATATGGTACAAAAACATTTAAATGTTTCAGTATTTTTATGCATTTAAAATAATAAATCCTGAAAAAAAGGAGGCATATAAATATTCCTGATTTTTTTTTTTCACCAGGCAAAATGACAATATTTGTACAATTATACACAATCCAGACAAGGAAATTGATGATCCAAGTAATGATTTTGAATGTCTTGACGTATCCCAACTATTCCAAGTCCAAGACAATTCTAAGTGTACTGACACGGACAACTTGGTATCATTACAGTCACAACCACTACATATTTCTGCATCACAAACATTGTCTGATTTTAAGAATTGTTCAGCTAACAAAACATTTAAACGTAATTCATCTTTGCTTAATTTTATTGATATTGTTAGCAAAGAAGATCAAGAAAAATTTGAGCTCTCATTCGCTATGTTTGTCTTTGGAAATTGTCTACCATTAAATATTACTGAGAATCGCAGTACAATAGACCATTACAAAAGTATTCGCCCAGGGTTTCTTTTGCCAAGTCGTCATAAATTATCCAACAAATTACTTAATACACACTATGATAAACTGCTTCTTAACTTAAAAGAAAAAATTAATAAGTCATATTGTTTGGGACTGACTTGTGATGGGTGGACAAATGTTAAAGGTGATAGTATAATTAACTTCATAATTACAACACCTGAACCAATATTTTTAAAATCTATTGATACAAAATCAAATAAACATTCAGGAGTTTATATGAAGGATATTATAATAAATGTGTTAAAAGAATTTGGTGAAATGAAGTTTACATCAGTAGTAACGGATAATGCTAGTAATATGAAAGCAGCATGGAATCTAATTCAAAATTATTATCCACATATCAGTTGTTATGGTTGTGTGGCTCATGGACTTAATTTGTTAGTTCAGGATATTACTACTGGATTAGAGCCACTAAAAGAAGTTGTTGTAGAATTGAAACATGTAATTAAAGAAATAAAAAACAAACATATTCTGTTATCAGTTTTAAAAGAAAAACAAAGTTTATTGTCTGGGAATCTGCCTAGCTTAAAATTGCCTGGAGCTACACGTTGGGGTTCAATTGTAAGATCTATGCAGAGTTTAATCGACAATAAGTCTTGTTTAAAGGCCATGTGTATCGATGAACGAGTTGAACTAACAGTAACTCAACAAACTAAAAATTGTATTTTAATGGATGTATTTTGGGAAAGAATTGAAACCTTTTATAAATTATTAAAACCACTTGCACATTATTTAAAATTAGTACAAGGAGATAAACTTAATTTAAGCATTGTTTGTACAATATTTAGTGAACTGGAAAAAGATTTTAAAGAATTTATTTCATTAGAAGTAGAACCAGCTCTGAAAAATGAAGAATTAAAAATTTTAGTTATGCTTGAAAACAGACGTGATTTTTGCTTAAAAAAAATACATTTGGCAGCAAACATTCTTGACCCAAACACATTTGGAAAAGATCTTAAAGATGGCGAAGACATAGAAGCTATTGAATTTATAATTAATATGGGAGAAAATAATGCAGATATTGAAATAAATAATCTAATTTCATAAATAGCTCAATATAGATCCAAAGAAGGTATTTTCAACAAAGAGTTTTTATGGAAAACATTGGAGTCAAAACTTAATCCACTCATCTGGTGGAAAGGATTTTGCAGTAATTCAGCTGCTGAGTTAGCTAAAATTGCTATAAAAATACTAAGTTCCCCCCCAACATCTGCATCTGTTGAAAGATCGTTTAGTAAAATGGGACATATACAAAATTTGAAAAGAAATAGACTAGACAACGAAAGAGCATCAAAATTACTTTTTATTGCTCATAACAAGAATTTGCTTATAAATTATAGTACAGATGAAGTGCAGTTAAAAAAAGTAACAGGTTCATCTAATGTTGTCCTAGAATATTATGATAAAAACCAAATGATTAACTACACTAGCACTCCATCAAAAAAATCAAGAAATGCAGGGCTTGATGATACTGAGTTACATATTGAAAATCAATTGGTTATGTCTGCTAGTACTTCATCAAATTATCCAAGGCAACCTAAACGAAAATCACCAAACAAGAATATAGATCTAACTGATCTAAGTGACACCAGGATTGAAAAAATGTTAGCAGNAATTATAAAAAATATTTATGTTTAAATTGCATATATAATATATATTAACCATATAAAAATCAACATAATATATTAAATACTAAAAATATCAGTTGTATTAAGCATTGTAAAGTTCACACATTGTATCTCGTTTTAATTTTCCATCAGTGCGACGGTGATCTTCTGATGATTCTCTTGCAGGATTTGGACATTCAGTTCTTTGGTGTCTCAAAAAATTCATCCCTTCTTCAATATAGTCATTTATATTAGCATCTGACTTGTTTTTTAGACACAAATTATGTAATACACATGCTGCCAAAACTGTAGATGGGATGAAATCTGTTCTTGACATATCTAGGTATTTAAACCGCCTAAATCTACCAAAAAATAACGCAAACGAACGTTCCACAGTTTGTCTAGTTCTGGAAATATTAAAATTAAAATTTTTTTGAGCTTCTGTCAGACGACCCCTGTTTATATATGGTTCAACACACCATGTAAGTGGAGGATATGCTTTATCGCCTAAGATATGTTCATCATTTGGAAAATAAAATTTTTCATTTTTCAAAATATTTACATATATGTCTGAATTTCGAAAGATACGAGTGTCACTCACAGAACACGGATAGCCAACAAAAACATCGGTAAATTTTAATTCCGCGTTTGTAATTGCTTGCAAGGTAATTGCATAATTGCATTTCCGTGTAACATATACTTCTGCATCTTGTTTTGGTGCCTTAATAGAAATGAAAGTACCATCTACAGCTCCAATAACATTTGGAATACTTGCCATGCGAAAAAACAACTCTTTCTGCCGTTCCAACTCTTCTCCGTGTGGCCAAATAATAACATTGGAAGCATTCATTATTATTAAATTGATAACTCTGAAAAATGATACAGACAGTGATGATTTTCCCATATCAAACTTTTCTCCGACAGATCTGAATATTAAACATAAAAAAAATGAAGTATACAAATCTGATTTTAATGAAATTTTACATAATACAGTATTGTATTATTTCATCCTAATTGTATTGTAATAATTTACAATAATAAATTTAACAATACATTAAATTGTTAAACTATAGAATTATTAGACAATGGCACAGTAGTAGGTAATTAAATCTCTAAAATTGTAAATTATAATTAGTATCTATAACATATTAATATATTAAATATACCTAGGTTAGGGTAATAAATATTACTTATTGTATATTTTAATATTTATTATGTAATTATAGTATCATTATTTCACAGGGCGGATCCAGGAATTTTCTAGGGGGTGGCACACATATTGGTCTTCCAATTTTTTTGTCAAACTTTCATTTATGTTAAAATTGTATTCATGTAAGATGAAAAGTATTTTTCCAAATATGTTTAAGATTTAATTTATATTTAGAAATGTCATAAAGATAGTATAGGTAAGTAAGTATGTATATAAAAGTAATGATTCAAAGTTACTATATGTATATATGATTAAATAAATACTTTACTGAAGTAATAAGTAGTATAAATAACTATAACTAGTAATAACTAGTATCAATATACTTTAAAGTTTAAATACTATAGACTTACTAGTTACCATAAATATATTACTAGTTTAACATTTTTAATAAGTTCATCTTTACTATGTCTATTTTATAAGAATTTGTTAAATGTTTTGTACTAACTTACATTAAAATAAAATTAATCACAGTTTAATTCAAATTTAAAACTTTATTTTATAATATTAAAAAACTAAAATAAAATAGTTAATAGGCATTAGGCACTATTATTATAAATTAATAGGTATAATTAATATAATTGAAATAATGTTCAATGTTTTTTTTTATAAATGCCATGCTTTTCATTATCATCTATGAATATATAAAACTATTAGGTAAGTATTATTGTATTAACTATTTACCTATATGAATCTGGAGTAGCAAGTATCCAAAGGACAGACAATAACTGTTTTTCAATGGGAATTTCCGGTCTTCCTGTTTTCTTTTCTATATTGTTCATGTTGTTTTGACTAACTTCTATCATGGGTAATAGAGTATTATAAAATACTGATCTGGATAATCTAAAATGTGTATAAAGAAATAAATTTATCCCTATTTTGTGATTTAGGTATCAGAATGCATAATATTATATATTTTTTATTGCTAAAACTTTTATTTACCTAAAGTGGCTTTGAAATACACTATCTGAATAATAAACAACAACATTTTCAATGTAGTTTTTTATCCTGATTGGAACATCTTTCTCGTAGGTTGAATCTTCATCATTAACATCATCTTCATCGTCAAAAGTAAATAGTCCACAGTCTAAAAGTAATTTAAACGAACTATTTGCCGCTATGGCTAGAATTTTGTGATGGCTAGTCATAATGAATAATTACCTACAATTATAAATGTCTAAATGATGTACACTTAAAAAATTTAAAATTTATAAAATTATTTATTGTTTTATAATACAAATCAAAATAAATCTATAAATAGTATATAATTTATAAATATGAATAATGATAACATTATCACTTTTAATCAATTTTGGTAATAGTCCTTCTATGTAAGGTTATACCTCGGTAACCTGATTGATAACTGAATGGTTCAATAAAATGGGCGGAGTCACATTGTTCCCCGGTGAAAATATTAATTTACATGGAAAACGTTTCTGAACGCACCCCTAGATTATTGTTTGATGTCTTGGTCTGAACCGTGGTCTGAAATTTTGGTTTTAGCCGATTTGTTCCATCAGATGGCGTTCCGCCCGTTGTCGTCTTGGTCGCGCAACCTGTCGGCGGCGTACACGCTCGCGGTTCGCGTTCCCGTTTCATGCCGATCAAGAGAAAAGCGAGCAACACGTTCTCTCGCCTCCGCCCGCCAGTAGTCGCTACAAATAGTACTAGTACAGTTTGCCGCTGTGCATGTACGTGATACCACGCTCTGAGCACGCATTAATTTTGTCGTCATCGCAGTAGTTTATTTTTTTAAAATATTGTTGTAATTTATATATTTTGTTTTATTGTTGTAAGATAGTAATAATATCATCGCCAGTGTTACACGCCCGGGCGTCGCATCGTATAATTCTCGCTAGGAGATATTTCTGCTTTTTCTGTCACATAAAGCCGCGTCGAAATGGGTTTGGGCACTTCCACGATCAAATACATTTTGTTTTT